CATTGAGGCAATACTCTTAAGTGAAATAAATAGGACACACATGTGTAAATACCGAATAGTTTCTCTGGTGTGAGAAACTGAAAGTGTAAATGAAGTAATCTTGAAAGGTGCCAGTTGAATTGAATTCTTTCTGATCAGTAGTCTCGGTAGAACCTCCAGAATGATATAGGGGGAAGAGATGTAACTCCCAAACCTACTAGCTATCCAAAATGCCAGTTTGTGTTCTCTAAAATTGAAGAATGAGTTCTAGGAACAGTGGAGGTTAAGAGTGGGAAAAATTTATTGGGAGAAAGAAAGCTTCTGCCTAAGAAAGATAGACGGGGGACCAAAAGTGGGTTGCCCTCCCACATAGTATTAACTAATAGCGTATTTAATTATTGGGATTTTAGAATTTACATTGCTTTTTTTTTTTTTTAGAAACCACTGAGCCATTGGAGTCAAGGCTTGAAGACGTCTATGCAGGACCCCAAAATGCAGGTCAGAATAAAATTTTGAAGTTTAAGTACACTTCATGTTTACAGGATCACTACACAGAGACCATGATTATTAATGAAATCTCAGGATATCAGTTCTTCCAAGTGAGATTTATTTTACTGGACTATTCTGTGAGAACAAGTGGCTTTTCCCTTAAGCAGTAAGATAGCAACTGGAGTTTTTTGGAGAGAAGCTAAGTTCTTCAAAAGAATATCCCTTCTACCCTTTCCCTTTTCATTTATTTATATACAGATTTTTTTATTTTAAAAACGTTAATTTTTATTAGTGCATGTTTGCAGTACATAATGTTTACATTCATGGTGGTACCTTTTCCCTTTTAAAGTTCTGGGTACTATTAAGGGAAGTTGTGTTAACGTTTGCACGGTTCTTTTCAAGGGAGTATCAGATACTGTATTTTAACTGTAGTGTGGCACTATCTTAGGACTAGTAATAGCCACCTTTGAGGACCCTTTGAGGTCTGTTTCAATTACATCCTGGGTGACAAGGGGCCAGTACTATTAGGCTCCTCAGAACTCATACACGTGTGCCACATTGTCTGATATGTTAGAATGGATGCATTTGAATTCATGCCTGCAGGGATTTCTTTTTCAGGACTGGGGCTTGAACCCAGGGCCTTGTGTATGGTAGGCAAGTGTTCTATCACTGAGCTATAGCCCCAGCCCATTTTATTTTGTGACAAGCTCTTGCTAAGTTGTCCAGGCTGGCCTCCAACTTGATACCCTGCCTTAGCTTCCCAAGTAGCTTGGATTATAGGCATGTGCCACTGTGCCTGGGTTCCTGTAGTTTTTTTTTTTGGTACAGGGGATTGAACTCAGGACCTGGCGCTTGTGAGACAGGCGGCAGAACAACTGAGCTACATCCCCAGCTCCTGCAGGTTTTTAACATCAGGTCCATGGGCACTATTTTGTACCATGCATCTTCTGTGTATCTTATAGTGTGGTGGTGGAAAACACAGACTTTGGAATTCACTTGATTTGAATTGAAATTGTAGATTTTCCACTTAGTAATTGTGTGATTTCTTTTGGGCCTTCCAATCTGTCTGAGTCTCAGTGCCCTCCTATCTTAAAATTGGGATACTGAAATCTTGGCCCAAGATTGCTGTGGGAAATAAGTGACTTAATGAATATGACAGCACCCGGGACACAGAAGATTCTTAGTAGTTGTTTCCTTTTTTCTTGTGCCCTTGTGGTAGGTTTACAAAGATGAGCATGTGGTGGTGATTAAGGATAAATACCCTAAGGCCCGTTACCACTGGCTGGTCTTACCATGGGCCTCCATTTCCAGTCTGAAGGCTGTGACTAGAGAACATCTTGAACTCCTCAAACATATGCACACTGTAGGAGAAAAGGTGATGGCAGATTTTGCTGGATCCAGCAAGCTCCCCTTCCGATTGGGCTACCATGCCATTCCCAGCATGAGGTAAGTCTTGTGGGTAGTGCTAGTGCCTCTTGGTTTTGTGCAGGTGATTGGCCTGGGCTTGCTGAGTGTGCTGATACCTGAGGCACAGTGAAGCAGGGTGAGATGTTTCCAAGGCTGGTGGGCTGAAGCTTCCACCCTTCTGCCTGACTTGCTTCCAACCTGTGAGTTCCTGTTCTGCCTGTAATTCAATTCCATGTGGTTCTTTGTTCCTCTAAAAATTTAGACCTTTGAGAGTCTAACATGAACTAGATGAGGGAGCATTTGTTACCCTCACATGAAGAATTGTTGTCAGTGGCTTTGTTAGATTTTTCAAGATCACCTGGAACCAAGCCACATGAGGTGGCACACGCCTATAATCCCAGCACATGGGAGGCTGAGACAGAAGGATTACTGTGAGTTCAAGGCCAGTGTGGGCTACACAGTGAGTTCAAGGCCAGCCTGCACTACAAAGTGAGACCCTGTCTCAAAAACACCAAAACAAAAAAACCCCCAAGACCCCAAAACAAACAAAAAACTGTTACCCTAAAATGATTAAGGATATTTGGTCTGAGAGAATTCTGTAATGACAGCTTAGTAGATATAAGATTTAAAATACCATGGGGAAAAAGTGTACATACTGTTTTCTTTTGGCTTATACCCAGAATGATTTGGAAAGAAATGACTGATTCTTTCCAAAGAATGCAAACCAGGCATATCTCTGTGGTTCTTTTGGTCTATGCAGTAAGATAATGGGATTTTCAAAATTTTTAGCTGTTTTTTTTTGGTCCTGGGAATTGAACCTTGTGGATGCTAAGTATACACTTGCTACTACTTAGCTACACCCTCAGCCCCAGCTTTTTTTTTTTATTTATAAGATTTACATTTCAGCTACTTTTAAATGCACAGTACATTGCCATTAAGCATATTCTCATTGTTGTGCAGCTGTTACCACTGTCCATCTCCAGCTTATTTCATCTTTTACTCGGGAGACTGAGGCAGGAGGATCACAAGGTTGAGGCCAAACTGGGCAATGTAACAAAACCCTAAACAAATAAATAAATAAATCTAAATAAGCTGTGATGTTGCTGAGCGGTATAGTGATTGCCTAGCATGTACAAGGCTCTGGGTTCAATGTCTAATGCCACAAAAATGACAAAGATTTTATTGTTATGTTTAGATACTAGGGATATCCACTGTATAGTTGGAAGGGTCAGAAATACTGTTCAAATCACTCCTACCCAGGTCAGCTGGGATAAATTACCTTCAAACACTGTTTAAGTGCTTTGTAATTTTTTAGATCTGCCCATTTGCTTAAGGTATTACTGAGCTTTCCCTTGTTAAGCTGAAGGCTCAGAATCTCCTGACTGATCAGTGGATACCACAGCTTACTAACTATGGATACCTCCCCCAAAATAATCTGACTATTGTGAAATCTAAAAACTGAAACTCTGTACTCATTGAATAGTAATTTTCCACTTTTGCTCCCCTTAGTCTCTGACAACCACCATTCTACTTTTGGTATCTATGAATTTGAGAATTATAGGTACCTCATATAAGTGGAATCATATAGCATTTGTCTTTTTGTGACTGGCTTATTTCACTTAGCATAAGATCCTCAAGATTTATCCATACTGTAGCATGTGATAGGATTTCCATCAGTTATTTTTTTAACCACCAATACTGACATTATATTTAGGTGGATAATTATTACTTAGATAACTGCCTACTTTAACCAAATGAAATCTTTGAACCACATTCCTCTGCCTGCCCATCAGTACTCTTTCTTTTAAACTTAATCATAATTTACACACAATACAGTGTATAATAAGATGTATAGTTTGATCAGCTTTGACATGTATAAATATATATATATATATATAATCACTATCATTCTAATCAAGATACAGAACATGTTTATTGTCTAATCCCAGAAAGTCCTTCTGTACCCCTTTCCAGTCAGACCTCTGTCTACCATAAATACTGTCGGAAGATTTTAGCATAGTTTTTGTTACATAAATGGATTCATACAGTGCATACTGTTTTTGTCTGGCTTTTTTGGTCAGCATAATGATTTTGAAATTTCATATACCGTGGAAATACTTTATTTTTTTTACTCTTGGGTAAATATTTAGAAGTGGACATGCTAGATCATAGGGTAGATACATGTTGTACTTCATTTAAAGAAGTCTCTCATATTTATTTGTTTTTGGTGCTGAGAATTCAACACAGGGCCTTGTACATGCTAAGCATGCATTCTACCAACTAAGCTATATCTCCAGCCTCAAGAAGTAAATATTATTTATTGTTAAAACCTTATTGAAATTTTTGGTACAAAATTCACCTATAATCCTATTTCTCTAACACAGCAGAGCCAATGACTGAGTCCTTGGCCACTGACCCTTTTTCAGATAGAAATCATGATATCCGTACCTTTTCCATGTAATGACTGCTGTTGTGCTAAGGAGAATGCCAAGAGCAAGTGCTGTGGTCGGGTGTCAGGGAAGCAGAATGAATGGGAAGGAAAATTGCCACTTAAATGCTCTTTTATGATCACTATGATGTAAAATTTTTGAATAAATGTGATAGGAAAAGCAGTAATTTCTCTTTCTGTAAACGTAATATTTTCAATTTAGAAAATACAGAAATAAAGTATGAGGCAGAACAAAGACCTGCTATAATACCCACCACTAGCTACACTGTAGAATAGACATTTTTTTACCCATTTTTCCCATAGCATCTTTTTTTTGCTTCAGAATCTAATCCACGATGTCACATTGTATTTATTTGTTGTCTCTCTTTAATCTCCCCTGAGAGTTCATATTTCTTTCCTGCTATTTGTGATTTTTGCTCCCACCCCCTTTTTGAGATACTAGGGATTGAACCAAGGACCTCATGCATGCTAAGCAAGCATTCTAGTGTTGAGCTACATTCCAGCCCTTTTACTTTTTTTTTTTTTCTTTTTGAGACAGGGTCTCAATAAGTTGCCCGAGCTGGTCTTAAACTTGTGATCCTCCTGCCTCAGCCTCTGGAGTAGTGGGAATTACAAGCATGCACCACCATGGCTGTCTTGATCTTGACATTTTTTGATGAGCACTAGCTAGTTGTTTGGCAGGATGTCTCTCAGTTTCATTTGTCTAATTTTTAAAAATGATTATACTAGGGCTGAGGATTTAGCTTAGTGGTTTCGCCACCTGCTGCGCAGGCACAAGGACCCGAGTTTGATCCCCGCTACCAAAAACAAACAAAACAAAAAATGATTATATTAAAGGTATTATTATTTGCTAAAGATTTTTTGCCTGATATTTTTGATTGTGTCCTCAGTCATATTAGAGAATACCTGTATTATCAGGTATGACTTATTACTGGTGATTTAACCTTAATCATTTTAAGGTGGTGACTGCCAAGTTTCTGCACTCAAAGTTACTATTTTTCTTTTGTAATCCAGTACTATGCTACTATCCTTTTTCTCAAATTTACACTGAATGATTGTAGCATCTGTTGGTGGATCTTGCCTGCAATAGTTTATTACTATGGTATTTTTCCAGTGGTGACTTTATGCCTTCACTAATTAATTAATCAATTAATTTGGGATTGAATCCAAGGCCTTTTCACTGAGCTACATCCCCTTTTTAAATTTTTTATTTTGAGACAAATCACACTAAGTCATTAAGTTGCCAGCCTGGACTTGAACTTGCAGTCCTCCTGCCTCACCCTCCCAGAGTGCTGGGATGAAAGCTGCAAGCCTCCACATTTGGCTTTAATTTATTAATTGAAATTCTTCTGTATGGAAGAGGCTTTCCTTCACCCTCATTATTTATTTATCCAGTTATTTATTAATATAGACTCATGGATGTTTATTCTGTGGCTTATAATTCAATACTGTTGTTATTTAGTTTGTTGCTTAAGTTGTTCCAGTTGTCATCATAAGCTCCTTTAGATGGACCCCTTCTGTCACTTTGACATGCTCCCCAACATTCTTTTAGCATTTCCTTATTTTCTGGCCCCAGAAGATGTTCCAGGCTTATCTTGTGTTTTTCATGTCTCAGCCCTGAAATGAATCATATCTCCAAAAAGGCCTTGGTCTTTTTTTTTTTTTTTCCCCTGATGATGGCATTTATTAACCAAGACTTGGATGCTAGGGTTCCGTAATGCGAGAAGTGGTTACTTTTAGGAAGATGTTTCTTCTAAGTCTTTTCAGCAAATAGAGCCAGGAAATATATGTTTGAATCAATAACCTACAGACACATCTTGTATTCTGTATTTATGTACCTATACATATACATAGAAAACCATGAATTCATACTGATAACTCTCATTCCATCTGCAGTTCTACAAAATTCTTTATTGTTTCTCTTTTCCTTTTTTTGTAGTTTCTTCTCCTATAATGAGCAACCTAACTTTTAGTAGTTACAATAAATTGCTTACTTGTTTAGTTGTAGTATTCATATAAAATGCTTATAGAGTTGCTAACCCATCTCCTGTCAGAAAGACAGTTACCAGTTAGTGTATAATTTTGTATATAGTTTTTTTGTCCTTAGCTTTATAATATTTAGTCAAAATATTGTTTTCCAAAGTGTAGTTGTTGTATACATTTGTAATACAAGTATATTTGTTTTTTGCTACTTATTTTTCCATTTTGGATTCTCTGCATATACTGATTGATTTTGATTATTTATTGGGGAAGATGAAATATTAGTGATCTAAAAGTGAAAGGTAATAAAAAGGCATTCTATTTGTTTTAACAAGTCAAAAATCCTAATTCCGCCTCCCCACCCCCAGTACTGGGAAATGAACCTGGGATCATCACACTGAGCTATACCTCAAGCCCCTTTTTTAATTTTAAATTTTGAGACAAGGTGTTGCTAAGTCACTAAGTTGCCCAGGCTGGGCTCAAACTTGCAGTCCCTCCTGTCTCATCCTCCCAGAGTGCTGGGATTACAGGTGTGTGCCACTATACCCAGTGAGAACATCTGATTTTATTCCTCTATGTTGCTTTTCCCTTAATTTTCTTCATCTTAGTAAGTGGCACTGTCCTAAATCAATGTCCAGTCCATTTGCCTGGCTGTTTTCTCAGCTTAAATCACTGCCTGGTAGACCCATCCTTGAACGCTTAATTAAAGAGGTAGCCTCTCTATCCCATTTTCCTCTTTTTTTTTTCTTAGCAATTTTAACTATTTGAATTTTCCTTGTTTGTTTATTATTTGTTTTTCCTCATTAGTCTGTAATTTCTATAAGGGCAAAGCCTTTCCCATTTTGTTCACTGCTAAATTCCCAGTACCTAGAACAGTACTTGACCCTAGTATTTACTGAGCATTAAATGTTCTTTTTTATTTGTGTGTGTGTGTGTGTGTGTGTGTATTTTTTTTTTTTTGTATTTGGTACCGGGGATCGAACTCAGGTCCTTGTGCTTGTGAGGCAGGTGGTGGAACCACTGAGGTAAATCCCCAGCCCTTGGTATATGTTTTTGATACATAATAATTACATTCAACTTAGGGGGAAAATATATATGTGCATTTTTGATCCCCTTTCTCCTCTCATTACTCTTCTTCCCCTTTCTCTGATCCCCTTTCTCATCTGCAAAAAAAATCTATCTCTTGTTTCCTACCATCTCTCCTTTATTTTGCTTTTTATTTATATTTTGGGTTTCTCAAATAAGAGAAACCGTGTGATAGTTAATCTTCTGTGTCTGACTTATTTCACTTAGTATTGTGGTCTTAAGATCCATCCATTTTCCTTCATTTATTAATAAGTGAATGCATTGAATTAAATGGACATACTAGCAATATTGTGTGCACCAATACTTTGTCATTTTGGCTGAGCTATAGTTTTTAATGAGTTTAATGTTCAATTTTTTTCTTTCAACTAGTCATGTACACCTTCATGTAATCAGTCAGGATTTTGATTCTCCTTGCCTTAAAAGCAAAAAGCATTGGAATTCTTTCAATACAGAATACTTCCTAGAATCACAAGGTAAACTGTATTCTTTGATTTTCACATTTGCTTTGTTTTCTCAGCTGTTCTTATACTTAATTCATTTATTTCCCTAAATAACAACGTGGCCTCAAAAACCCACCTATAACTTTGTATTCCCTTTAAAGAGAGCATTATTAAAAGAAACTGGAATATTTGGCTTGTAGTATGATTGCCACTGCTCTGAGCACCCTTCTTGAAGGACCTAGTAAGCTATTATGTTAGGGATAAAAGGTACTGTATTTCATTGTGGCAACAGGAGACCTAAAGGTTGTCATGAGAAGGCGCGAGCAATTCTTTGTCTCCTCTGCTGTTGGTTGGGCAGAGCTTGGGGGCTGTCTCATCTTGGGGGTGGGTAATGAACAGAGGACATCTGTTTATAATTAGAGGAAGCATTTCCTGGTGTGTAAACTGTGGAACTTAGTGCTGAGATGTTAATGATGGCAGCTGCTATTTACTAATGGCCAACAAGGGGTGAAGTACTGTGATAAGCCCTGACAAAGTAATATAGAGTGTGTCCCGAATGTTATTATCTCAGAGATATGTTGCTCAGATTTAGAATCTTATCAAGCCCATGTTCCTAATATGAAGTCTAACCTGTAGCTTACTAGCTTTAGGATAAATGGCATATTAATTGGAGTCATGTCTTCTCTTTTTGATTATCTTACATTGGCTTTCTGAAGTAGCTACGATCTGAGCTTTTCTTCTTTTCTTGCAGCTGTGATCCAGATGGTACAAGAGGCTGGCAGAGTGACTGTCAGAGAAGGGACATCTGAGCTCTTGAAGTTGCCCCTTCATTGTCATGAGTGCCAGCAGCTGCTGCCTTCCATTCCTCAGCTGAAAGAGCATCTCAGGAAGCACTGGATGAAGTGACTCTGCAGAGCCTGAACTAATGCCACAAGCATAGCCAATTGGAGTGAACTGCTGGCATCCATTCTGGGTTGCTTGTGAATGTCTACTCATTTCCTGAATTAAAACATGCAGCTGTTTTTGTTTTTTTTTAAACAAAGTTTATTCTTAAGTGTCCACAATGTAGGGTGACTCAGAATAACTCAGGAATTAGGAATTTGGATTTTCCATGGATGTGTTCTCTGATAAGGGTGGCAGGGACATACCTGAGCACCATGTCCAGGACCCATGTCAGGTCTAATGGGAGGGGAAGTAAGGCCACATTCAGACTCACCTGATAGTGCAGGATATAGAAGCAGCGAGCTATATATGTTATATATATATTATATGTTGTTTTTGGTTTTTGAAAGTTTGCCTTTAATAAGTAATTTCAACAAAAATAAAAGCAAAAATTTCTCTTTTTTTTGTTATATACTTTTGTTCTTTATGTTTATCCTCCTTCTTCAGAGGCATGTGATATCTTTTTATCAAAGTGGCTAGAATGGTCTCTTGTTTATCCTGAAGGCTCTGAGGGCCTAAAGTTCTCTGATCTTAATATATTCTGTAATAGTCTTCTTCACTCTTTCATAGGGAGGCTTGGTTTATTCTGTCCCTTTTCTTACCATCCAGGATGACCTAAATGCTTTCTTAGGAAGTTAGTTCTAGTCAGTTCTTCACTGTGGGCACTAAGGCTAGATGAGACTTTGGAAGGTGGAGTTTTGTTCCATTATCGTCATGGCTGGTGAGGCCTGCTTGGATCTAATAAAGTCCATTTGTTTGAGGCATCTTGCCAAAGTAGTTGAAAATGAAGTTCAGTTGACAGTAACAGGGTTGGTTTTGATGCATGAAAATGTACAGAACTACAGGTTTATTTTTCACTGAGAACACATTTGGATGTGCTAGGAGGTGTAGCTTTGTGGTAAAGCACTTGTTTAGCACTTGGCATGAAGCCCTGGGTTCACTCCCTAGCACTGAAAAAAAAAAAGAACAAATTTGAATCAAACAGCTGTATCAAGTTGGTTGTTTTGGCAATATCAAACTAAAGGTAAAGGGAAAAATAAAGGTTGTTTTTGATTATATTGTTGATGTATTTGGGGATGATTTTCACTTTGTTTCCCCCTGTGATCCTGGGGTTTGAACCAAGCAGGGCTTCATGCGTGCTGGGCAAGCACTCTCCCACTGAGTTACAACCTTAGCCTTTTAAAAAAAATTTATTTTGAGACAGGGTCTTGTAAAGTTGCCTAGGCTGCCTTCAACCTTGTGTCCTCCTGCCTTAGCTTTCCAAATAACTTGGGACTACAACTGTTTACTGCCACCTCTGACCTTGATTTTCACTTGTGAGCTCTTAAATAAAAAGAACCTTAACCTCTCTGGAGAGAAAACCTCAATCCATAGAGACCCATTTGACCTCATTGTCTGTCACAAAATGCCACAGAGGTTGCTTGCTGAGCTTGGGTACAGTAGTAATTAGTAGTACTTAATGATTGTAGAGCTGCTATTTACCAATTCTTAAGAGTTCAGCCAGTTAAATTATGTAATTCTCACTGTACATAACTGTGAGATTGGGCCGGGGATTTAGCGCAGTGGTTCCAGCGCCTGCCTTGCAAGCACAAGGACCTGAGTTTGATCTCCGGTACCAAAAAAACCCCAAAAACAAGAAAAGAAAACATAACTGTGAGATAGGTACTATTGTTAAGCCCCTTTAACGAATAAGGATCTAATATTCTGTTAATGGTACTGGTCTCCAAAGGGTCTTGGTTCTGATACATCCATTCATTGTTTTCTCTGTGAGTTCAACATATAAAGTGAAGGACTAGTCATTAGGTATCATAGAACTGAGGGCCTTGGGCTTGTGTTAGTCAAAAGCTTTTATAGCATTTTATTGATTTCCCTGAGGCCAGCTGCTTCCTTCAAAGCCCTTCTTGTCCATTTCTCATTACCCACCATCTTTCATATCTGTCCATTGTCCCTTCTGTACTCCAGGAATGTCATCTTTCCCTCATCAGCCCATCTGTCCATAGCTTCTTCTCTCTGGGTTGACCCTGTACCTTTGAGCCTCTCTTGCAGTGGCTATCCACTTACCCTGTGGCCTGTGGGTCTCTTCCTTAGCCCAGCTGCAGAGGGCATGTGGGTTCATAGTCTCTCCTTTGTTAGCACCAAGTCAAATCATAGGCAGATTAATTAAGAACCGATCTGGATTCAGAGCTGGGTCCCAGCCCTGGCTGTGCTGCTCAGAGCTGAGAAATCTTGGGGAAGAGTGACTTATTTTCTCTGAACTTCAGTATTCACATATGGAAATGGACATAACAGAGTTGGGCTATAAGGGTTAAAAATAATCCATGTAGGGTTTAGTGTAGAGTATCTGGTATAGAGAAGGACACTATAAATGGTAACCGGGAGCCTCTGCTTTTATTTTGGTGGCAGTTGGGAAGGAAGGTTTACCTACTGTTTTTCTATATCTGATTCTTTAGTACCCTAGAAACTTTCTACACATATATGAATTCCTGAAAATAAAATTATTGATTTCCCTTTAAAAAAATGTAAACATCTGGGATCTACCCTAGAACTGCTGAGTTACAATCTCAAGGGCCTAGGAATATACATTTTAAAGCATTGAGGATGATTTGAGAAAAACATCAGTGAACCCTTGGCTTCTAAAAGCCTTGGACTTCTGAAACTTTCAGATTTGTCTGTGGCTTACCTGGACACATGCCATTGTCTGGTTGTCTGCCTGGACCAGTTGCAAGCTTTTCTTCACTCTGCAGGGTCATCTCAGCCTGAGTATAGGGACTGGCACTTCCTTTCTGCAAGGGTTAGGGGGAGCTCCTGAGATCCCAGGCGCTTGAGGGCCAGGTCTGGACCAATGATTGCTCCTCTCCATGGCTCTCATTCTTTCTTCATGACCAGAGATCAGTCCAGTGGCTGAGCCTGGGACCTATAATGAACGCTGCCAGCTTTAGGCTCAGCATAAGCAATTTTTCCTCTTCTGGGTCTGTCTCTCAGGTTTTCAGGTACAAATGGTTCTTGTAGGGATCAGATCAAACTTGAGACAATCATTAAAGAACTCTGTAGTTTCAGGGACATTCCCTAGAGGTTGCCATCTGGCATTCAGTCTCACACTGGACATGGCTGAATATCAGAGATTCAGAACTTACCTGTCAGAGTTGGACTGCTTCTCTGTGCTCCCCACAGCTCTTGGAGACTTTCACAGAGTTCAGAAGACTCTACCATAAACTAAATTTTTAAAGAACATAGTGAAAGCCTTGAAGCCTGCTTTCCAGAATAATGTATATTTACATTTTGTATATATTAGGGAGTTTATTAAGTCATTGAGGTGCTTCCATAGACTCCTTGGGTCTGTGAACCTCAAAAAAGCTCTAGAGAAAAGGGTCATCACTGTAAATTTGGATGTTCAGGGCATTTGGGGTCATGATGGGTGACGGGATAGATCTCACCTTCAGGATGTTTCTGGGATGCTCTTTGATCTTGGTGCTCCTCTCTCAGCCCTTTAATGTGTGGACAACTTGTGGGTTCAGTTGAAGATGGAGGTCCAGTATGCTGGCTCCAGTGTATCCTCCACAGTCAAAAGGAGTTTTGGGACCCAAGGAAATCCTCAGTGGATCTGAGGGATTCAGAAACCCTGGCTGGAAGACCCTTCATAAAGTGTTTATAAAGGCATTCAGTCTTTAGGAGGATGAATGTGAAGGGGAAAACAATTATCCGTCATCTGCACAGATACAATCAGCTGCACTGTGACTCAGGACAGTGGGAGTGGCAGTACTTGGGTACAGTATGTTAAGCACAAACTGTACTGAAGACAGCTTATAGCAGTGTGTAGCTTAAGGCAGAGATTTTAACTGAGGCCCCAGCCAATGCTCTTGAGAATTACAGAACAAATTTAATCAAACTTCAGATAAAGTTCTCCGAATGTGCCTTTTAAAAATAGATATTGTAAGAACATTAAATTTAATTGCCACTTTATTAACAATGCTAAATAGTTTAGCATATCAATATTAAAGTTAAAATGAATAATTAGAAACTGCAACCAAAGACACTGTATCAGACAGTGTGATAAGTGAGATGTAATGAAGGAAAATTTGAGTGAGGTGACCACCTCTGCATTCTTTGTTAAGCCTGGCTACTCGGTGACCTTGAAAAATAGATGTTTTTAGAAGAAAAAAATGTGAATAAGGACTTGAAGGTCCAGAAGAAGGAAGTGAGAGATCTGGTATATGGTATATGTACCATAATCCCCTCTCCTACATGGGCTATTATCACTAGAAAAAAATTATCTTTTCTGCACCTATTTAACCCAGATTTATTACTGCATTACAATTGATTGGGTGGAATCTTTTGAAGTTGTAGGGAGTACTAATGTGAAAAGGTAGACCAAAAGCAAGTAAACATGTTTGGGATATCAATTCATACTATTTCCTCGATTGGGGGCTACCCTTTATAACTGCCCCGTTGTGGTCAGGTATCACTGCAGTTTTATTAAAATAAGTTGAATTATTTTAATGTAGCATGAAAGGAAATATATAATCCAGGCCAGCTGAACTGAACCATCAAGGCCACTGCCCACTCCAAGGCTGCCTAAAATCTTCAGCTCACGGGATCAAAAGTGCAACCTGGGCATGGTGGTGCATCCTGTAATCCAAACACTTTGGGAGGCTGAGGCAGGAGGACCGCAAGTATAAGCCCAGCCTGGGCAACTTAGCAACTTAGTGAGACCCTAATTCAAATAAAAAATTAAAAAAGGCTGGGGATGGAGCTCAAGTTGAGGCCCTGGTTCCACCCCCAGTATCACAACCAAGCAAACAAAACATCAAAAGCAACACGGTTTTTAAATACAAGCCCGGTATTATCTGGGAAGCGGAGCCATAGATGAGCCATCTGCCCCTCTTTATGCTGACTCTGGACTCCTGGTGGGGAATGAAGGGCATAGTTGAATTTGGAGGTGACATCATTAGGACTCTTTCTATCTCCTGTGTTGGCTCTCTGCAAGGTAGCAAAAATAGGGGCCTCAGAGAGAGAGAGAGAGAGAGAGAGAGCACAATCCTTTCTCCCCACTTCTCTTACCCTTGTTCCTCATGGCCACACATGCATCTCTGAACTAATCCCTGTGTCTCTTAGGAGGACAGCATAATCTGGCCATCTTGAGTAACAGGACAATCTTGAAGTACAGTAGGGAGGATTATGTGATTTGTGGCCCCACTAGAATTACACAGAGCAAGGAGGAGTGGTTTTCAGAACAATGGCTGTTCACAACTTACGTGGACTGCACGCATAATGATCACAAGATACTGATAGTGCCCTTGGCCTCGTGCTGGTGTCATAGGATCTAAGGGAAAGAAGACAAACAGCCACCTTGTACTTCTGGTAGCTACAAGTTGAAAGTTGACACATTTCATTGCCTCTGGCCCTAGCCTGTAC